AAAAACAAACAAACAAAAAAACTTCACCAGCACAGGGAAAGGGGACTCTGGGGGATTGAGCTTTCCACATGCGTTAACTGAGTCAGGGACAGATACAGATCTTCACAGGCTGGAGTTGTAGCTCAGTGGTAGAGTGCTTGCTTAGTAAGTGTAAAGTCTGAGTTCAAATCTGAACACTAGACAAAAAAAAAAAAAAGTCAAAGAAACCTACCCAAAACCACAGCAGAGGTAGGGGAAGCCAAGTGTTGGGATGCACACCTTTAATCCCAGAACTTAGAAGGCTGAAGGAGGAGGATCATGAGTTCAGGGCCAGCCTGGGCCAGAGAGTGAGAGTCTGTCTCTTAATAGGCAAAGAAATGAGGAGTCATGGGGAGATGGGATGCGGTCCTGCACCCCACTACTTAGCAAGAGGTCCCTCAGTCGCCATTAGAGTATATTTCCGCACCGTGCACTCTCCCTGCCCCGGCTCTAACTCTTGAACTAGGGAGGTGGGAACAAGTGACAACCCCACCCCGCCCCCGCCGCACCCCCGGCCAATGATAAACCACAGTACAAGCCCACCAGGGTCCATCTGGGAACTAGTGAGTTTGCTGGCTTATTACAGAGCCTGAATGGGGCCTTATTGGAGGAACATGGCTGAGCCCAAGCAGCCATGCCCCTTGGGAGTCTCATGTGGCCTCCCCACAACTCGACAGAGGGAGCGCCCATTCAGCTACCCAGCCTGCGTACTCCAGCGCGTGCAGTTAGGGCAGAATTACACACAGCTGGCTGGGAGGTGCAGGGGGAGGGGCTGGAGTCTTGGGGGAGGGTCCAGTGACCCCCCCACCCCTTCTTCTATGAGGGAACATCAGCAGATGATGGAATCAGTCTCCAGGGCCTGCAAGTCCTCACCGCTGCTCTGAGGGCGTTACGCTTGGAGTCTAGCTAGCTCTCTACAACATCTTCAGTGCCAGAGGTCCCCACATACAGGGGGCCTCAGTAAATGTCCCCAGAAAAAAACATTTTATATATCTGGGTAGCCAGATGCACCCTGCCTTCAGAAAAATCAGGTTGGGGGGGGGGGCGG